CCCTGGCAGCTGCTTGTTAGCTGAGAAAGATGAAAACCCTTCATTTCTTGGGGAAAAGCTACCCTGAGAGGTAGGTTTCTAAATCTCGAGGCTAGTTGAGGGTGCCCAGAGCACAGGACCCACTTTCTTCAAGTCTTAAAGCCAGGGTTGGAATCAAATCTCTCTGGGGAGGTTTCCCCCACATAGTAATGCATGCCTTGTTCTGGGCAGGTAGGTGGGTTCTTGTGATTTGATACTAATAATACTCACCAATGAAAATTCTGTGATGACACAAATAAAGGAGACAATGACTTTGAGGCCTTGGCCAACTGCTTAGACACCCTAGGCTAATGGGCAAAGCAGCCCTGGTGGTGGGTGGCACCTGCCTGTCAGCGGGCCTCCCCTGCAGGATTTGAGTTACTTCTGTTTCATTTTCAGAGCAAGGTGATCAGATAGAAGGAAAAGCCGGAAGTTCTCTCCATAAGGAAGGGAGTCCGTAGGAAGGCATGTTGCTCTGAGGCCCTCACTGCCTCTTGCCAGCAGACTCTGCAAGGCCCCGTGGCCCTCCCCAGGGACCCCAAGAGAATGTCTTCACATGTGAGATGAGCTGAGGAAGGAGGAGGTTGTAGTCCAAAGGAGGGCAAAGCCCATCCCTGAGAAGATGTTTGGATGGGCTCATGGTATAGGCAGAGGAGTCTATGGTGAGTCTATGGTGAGTCTGTATGAGCCAGTGCCAGGGAAGGCTGACCTTAGACACTGGAGCAGGGGTGCAGTTTTGCGTAAGACAAGAGGAAGCACGGAGGTTTAGGCCCAGATCAGTGTATTCAGGAAGATTCCTTGCAGAGTTAGAGCCTGGAGCCAGGAAGATTTCTGTGTCGTAACAAAGCTCCATGTGTCTACTCCTAAGTTCATGGCATACTTGTCCTTTTCCTGCTAACATGATGTTGAGTGACATGTGTCCACTCACTCACACAAGCTGAACATCAGGCTGTCCTCCAAAATTATTGATGGAAGAGAGGTCATCCCTATATCCTGTCCTCAAGTCCTACCACCATTTCCTCCTAAGTTACCTTCCCATCCCTCCCGTTTGCTCCATCACCACTGCTGTGTCCTGGCAAAGGCTTTCACAGTCTTTCCTCTGAAGCCCTATGGCGACCTCCTTCTATCCTACATGTCCCCAGGCTTGCCCCCCATCGGTCTACTTCTGTTCTACAGTAAGAGGGAGCTTTCTAGAACACAGCTTCCTCCAGCCTCCTCACTGGCCTCCCTGCCTCCCATCTCACCCCATCGGTGCAAGAAACCAGAGGGATTCTTCTCAAACACAGTCTCTAGCATCACCTTGCAGTTCTTACTTACCATCCTTGCGATTTTTACTGTCCTCGCAGTTCTTCCCCGCTCACAGGATGCAGTCAGCGCACCTGTGAACCCCCTGAGGTCCAGTCTCTGCTTCAGCCTCTTCTCTCCCTCGTTCTCCCCAGAAGCCCAACTTCCCCACCTTTGGGAATCACACGCAATCCACTGGACACACCATGCCCTCTCCACACGGCTGGACCAGCCATGCCTCTGGCCTGCTCTCTGGCTGAGCCCAGGGCACCTCTGGGAAGCCTTCTAACCCTCTGTCTGAATCATATGTCCCTCATTTGAGTCTCCAGAGCCTCTTCTGTTCTGTGTGTATTACACAAGATAGTCCTTATGCTTACTGTTTCCCCGATGGTCTTTCATCTCTGTGTCCCTTAGATCCAGCACACAGCCTGGCATAAAGTAAGCACCCAATGAGTTTGTAATTGAGCATAGGTTAAGTTCCCTGTTAAACCTCAGCCACCACAAATTCTGCCACCCGCCTGGGATGGGGCAGGCGGTTGTTCTCTGTGTGGGCTCCTTCAGCTTTCAGAATCAGGACACTTCCTGTTGATCTTTAGGGCGAAAAAGTGGAGTCTTGCCTCTTGGTCTGCTGAATAAGTGTTCAACGTTAGAAGCTTCCATTCATAGTGGTGATTTTTTTTTTTTTCTTAAAGCAGTAACATTTCAGTGATTACAGTCTGTGCCAGAAAGCTAAGCCTCCTCTCTCCTAAGGAGTTCCTCCACTAATTGCAGTGCTGATCTGAGGGAAGCTTTCAGAAAGGAAAAGGAAACCACCAAATGTTGCTGCTGCTTTTCCTTCGCAGCTCCGATCATACAAACCCAGCATGGGCAGGGGGATGTCCTTTTGGGGGGTGTTGGCGCCTTTCAGAATGCCGTGCCCACCTCCGCCTCTGCCCACGGCTGTCAGTACGGTTTTGTTCCCTCCTGCCCAGAGCTATGGGCACATGTAATAAGAACCGTACTTCCAAACATCTTACTTAAAACAGGTTCTTGCGATCAGTACCAGAGCACAGCATCTGCAAGCCTAGATGTCAGACTCCGTTACTCATCCCCAGTACAGTTTCCCTCCATGGTGAGCCTGGCTTGGATGGCCGCGTGTTTGGGAACAGGGCTGGCGTGCCTGTCTGAAAAACAGTGCTCCCACCCCGCCCTGTATCTTCATAAGTGAACAGGTGATTTTTGAGGCTGACGTCAGCACCTAAGGCAGTTCGGATAATCTTTGAATGGTATATTACGGACTTTAGGGAAGGCAGTTTTGCTTCTGATCCTACAACTTACTACACGCTTTGGGGTGGAGTGCCATTTATTTGAGCTCCCAAGCCTCTGTTGCCTCATCTGCAGGATGGGAGCGGTAGTCTACCAGCTCAGGTGGTGTGCAGATTAAGGAAAGTGATGTCTTGGCCCAGTCTCTGGAATACTTGGGGCTGGTGGCCAGGAAATGATGAGTTACTTCTGTCTACCCCCACCCCCACATTCGACCTTTCCCCCAAGAATAAAAACATAATAATTGCCTTACTTCACCGTGAAGGATTTAAATGCAAAGCCTTAAGGTAGTCAACCCTAAAAAACAAAGCAAAACAAAACAAAACACTGAAGCATGTATTTCTCAAACCATAAAGATGGCTCGGGCTTTTCTTCTCCATGCCTCCAAAAGTCTTTAGATTCTGCTTATCAGAGTCAGCAAGGCAGAGGAGATCCGATTCCCAGGAGTGTGTTTTGCTCCAGGAAAGGACATAGGTGTTAAATATCTGTCCCTAAAATCCGAAGGTCAAGAGAATTTTCTGGAAGCAGTGTATCCAAGACTTCCCCGGCACTCCCCTGTATTTTAGTTATGCTAAATGATTGAATCTCTCCCCCGCTGCATGCTTTCCTGAACATGAAGCATCTCCTCGCCGTTCGGGCCCCTGCCCCCAGAGTCATCTGTCCCCCACTCTCCACAGGTATGGCCACTTATGGTTCCCCATGCCACAGCCCGCTGGCTTCGGTGTCCCCTCCTCTCCTGGGCTGCTGTGGGAGATTCCTCCTCTGCTCTCCATTGCCTCTGAGTATCTGCTCCACGGAACAACCCTACCCTTTTTCAGAGGCAACCATGTTAAAAACAGAGAGAAACCAAACAGAATAAAAACCCTCTTTAACTTTGTTTAGCCTGCTCTCTCCCTCTTCCACCCCCTCCTCCAAATTGTTTGATCACAGACCCTTTAATTTATTCCCCTCCCGGGGAACTGAGGTTCCTGGGCGCCATCTTGGAGAATGCTGCTAATTTATTGGGGGGGGGGCCGCCACCCATTCGCTCGTTAAGGCAGATGTGAGTGCAGACGTCGGTGGGTGAGGGCATCCACTCTAACAGGTCGTTGTGTGCTGGAGCTCTGTGTTGTGGCCCAACCGTCTCCAACTCCAGTGCACATGCGAAGCGAGGAAGACAAACCACAGCATGTCATGACTGCGATGTGCCCACTCCCGCTTAGACTGGACCAGTATCCAAAACCTAGCTGGCGTGCCTGCCTGTGGAGAGGGGCATTGGCTGTCGGGGAGACCTGGGAGCAGGTTCCTCATGGTGCGCTGCTTGGGAACTTCAGAACTTTCTACTATTTTGAACACAGCTCTAACCTGTTCGAAATTCCACCCGACTTCACCCAGAGAGTGGTGTGATGTCCTCGGCTCCACTCCCGGCCCTGTGGTTGGCTTCTGGCCACCTGCCCAGCTTCTCTCAGTCCCTGACGGGGCCGCCATGCTCCTCTGCTGGCTTCCTGCCTGAGACAGGTGTGGAGCAGTGGGGACTTGGCTTATTCGTGCCACAGCTCAGATGTGCCCCACTCCACTTGGAAGCCCACCTCCCACAGGGCGTGCTGGCCCTCTCAGCCTTGTGCCCTGGGGAATGTACCCCTGCAACTTCCTTTTCCTTTCCTGGATGATGGAGGATAAGAAGTTCTAGTTCGTGGGGCTCGGGCATGTTGCCTGTCTGTTCAGAACACCTGGCTGGCATGGTGCCTGGCATCTTGTAGGTGTTCGTTGTCTGTTTGCCTTCTTCCCTACCCATCCCTGCTTTCCTTCCCATCCCCTGCTTTCCTGTTGTGATTAGCAACCTTTCATTCATTCTTTTGGGTCTTAAAGCCCTGGAGTTTCAGAAGAAAGAACATAGGGCCAGAAATAAGACTTTCAGTCCTGGCTCCACGGATCCCGAACCCCGGGAAGACAGTAGGCTCCTCAGTGTCACTCGATCTCCTGCTGCAGCACAAGAGCCGTATCCATCTCCATACAAAAGACCTTTGCTTCTCCAGACACTGGGAATGCGGAGGGTCAGCTTACGGTGCGAGCGCAGATGCTTCCCCTGCCCGCCAGCTGGCTTAGAAGGATATTTGGAAGATGAGTAGAGTCATGTGTTCCATATGCTGAAGAGAAGATGATTAGCACCCCCACCCCCGAGAAGGTAGAGTGGGGAAGCCCCCACTCATTATCCAGCTGACCTTGGACGAGACGTTCCCTGCTCTCCGCCTTCGTTACCTCAGCTAGGATAGGAGAACAATAAAGTCTTACCTCACAGGGGTGGCTGTGAGGCTGGCATGAGGCCATCCATGTGGAAGGTCTTTGTAAACTGTGAAATGCTCTGTGTGCGTCGCCCAGCGCCAGTTGTTAATGCACGTGCCTGTTTCTTGTTGCAGCGGCGAGTGCAGGACGTCATCAGTCCCATTGTGTTTGAGGCCGCCTACAGCCTGGGTGAACATGTGACTGGAGAGGAGAGGGAGCTGCCAGCTCTGACACCAGTGCTCCGCTGGAAGAAGGGACAGAAGATTGCCCAAAGGAATCAGGTCAGAACCTTGAAACTCCTGGCCGGAACCCAGGGTGGTAAGGTGCCTGTGGCAGAAGCTGTGGCCCTGGCTGTCTGGGCACACCCTCTCACTGCGCCTCCCTTTACTAATCTGCAAAATGGCAAAATGTGTGGTTTGGGGGGTTGCATCTAAAAACGACATAATTTAAGCACATTGAGGCTATTCCCAAGCAGTTATAAACTTATAACCCCTTGGAGGTCATGAACTGGTTACTGGGCCCCTCAACTTGACACCTGTTCCTAGACCATTTCCAGAGCTGAGATCACCATAGTAGGCACTCACTAAATGTTTTCTTGGTGAGGGCATGAGTCAGGTGAAGAAGAAAGGACATCATCTTGTAGAATTGGTTGTTGGGTTAGAAATTTCCAACCCTTGCATCCCTGGAGAACAGTACAGAGCGAGTGCTTGTGGGCCACCTATCCTGACTGATGCTGATCAGGTTCTCGGGTGTGCTGCTGTGTAGATGAGCTGCAAAGCCACGTCAGGTAGAGGCCCTCCCAGTAGCTGTGAGCCTGTAAGCTGATTCTGCCACAGTGCTGCCCGTCGGCCTTGAGCCATCTGTGCCACATGCAGCGCTGACTTCTGTCCTGGAAATAGGCAAAGACCCTGTGGTCCCCAGTCTGTTTTCAGCCTTTCCTCAACACCACGATCACCACAGATCCAGGACCTTGGTGGCAGGGGTTGGGGGAATGGTCAGGCAAAACTGCGTTTTGGCTGAACTAGACTTCTGTGCAGGGTGGGAGCAAAGTCATGGAACCACCCACCAGCCCCACCCTCCTGCTGACTGCACTGAGCTTAGGGGAAACCTAGCACAGCAAGTGACCCAAGCCTTGCCGATTAGACTTGTGAACCAAACCACAGAGAAGGGTTTGAGGTTTGACATGTGCATCCAGAAGTTCAGTTAAGTGGTGAGATTTTTTACCCAATTCTCTCCCAAAATATCTCCCACACGATCTTGGCTTCAGGTTCCCTAGAAGCAGAGCCTGAGGCAGGGATTTGGTAGCACATGGGAGAAACCTAAGGAAGTGAGGAAAGTGGAATGGACTGAGCAAGGATGTGGCCTCAGCTAGGCTAGCCCTAGCTGAGCTGGAGAATTCAGTAACATAAATTTTACCAAAGAGCTATCTTCTTGAGGCAAGGGGGCTGACCTTTTGGGTTCCTTGTTAGTCAGCCATTGGCTGGCCATCCCGTGTAGAAGGGGAGTGTGGGTCTCCTTGAAGGAGAGCTGCTTTAGCTTCAGATAGTTCTCTGAGGAAGAATGCAAATGTGAGCCATTCACTGCCTACACTCACATCAGCAGGGGGAGAGGCCACAGTCATGCAGGGATGTGGACAGGGCTCCCAGCACCTGCTACATGTATACATACAACCTACTGGCCATACTGACTTTTTACGTCCTTGTTTTGATTTTGAATGTGAACTTCTTTCAAAACACGGGTACCCTGGAAGGTGACTGGTATGTCCTGCTGGTTATTGACACTTGGAGTAGGCTGGGGTCTCAGTGAATGAGCCTGATCAAAGCCAAAAGTGCAGAGACAGATTAGTATTAAAATGCCCTTCTTGGTCTCTTCTGGTCAAGGTGGTCAACCAAGCACCTATGTTTAGGCTTCCTGAGGCCCCATTACAGTGATTATAGATGAGTTAATAGGGACAGAGAGGAGAACGCTGTGGGGGATGGGACATCAGTCAGCAAGAGAGTTGTAATTTTCTGGAGTGAGTGAAGAAGATGGAAGAGTGGTGGTGGGTGAGCCTCGAGCTACACATGGAGGGGCTAGGTGTCCATCTACCCAGAATCCAGAAAGGCTGCAGCCATGGCCAGGCCAGCAGTTACAGAAGGGTACAAGAGTGACAGGTGGGACTGAAATAGGGAAGGGGGCCTATTTTTTTAAATTTTTTTTTTATATCTTTTCAGTGTAACAGTATTCATTGTTTTTGCACCACACCCAGTGCTCCATGCAATACATGCCCTCCTTAATACCCACCACCTGGCTCCCCCAGCCTCCCACCCCGCACCCCTTCAAAACCCTCAGGTTGTTTTTCAGAGTCCATAGTCTCTCATGGTTCACCTCCCCTTCCAATTTCCCTCAACTCCCTTCTCCTCTCCGTCTTCCCATATCCTCCATGTTATTTGTTATGCTCCACAAATAAGTGAAACCATATGATAATTGACTCTCTCTGCTTGACTTATTTCACTCAACATAATCTCTTCCAGTCCCGTCCATGTTGCTATAAAAGTTGGGTATTCATCCTTTCTGATGGAGGCATAATACTCCATAGTGTATATGGACCACATGGGAAGGGGGCCTATTAAGTGAAACTTGGTAAGTGAAAGAGTTGGTGTTTCTCCCCTGTTCTTGTCCCTTTATACTTTAGGCATGCAGAATAGCAAGCGACCAGGCAGTTTTCTTCTATAAAGAATTTAACTGGTTGAGATAGCGTGAGTTGGCTGCTTCCCCAGAGGAAAGCCTTACCTCATCTGGCATTTAGAGGCTCCACTGTAAGTGCTAGCTTCCTCTCCTACCATTCCCAGACACATCCACAGATTTTCTAATCAGTCCTTTTGTCTTATTCTTAAATACAAATGGACAACCAGTGTAGCCTGAGAATGCAGGGGCAATGTGGTACATTGAAAAAGAAATACAATAAAAAACAAAATAACTGACTTAGAAGAAAATAGATTATTTAGGGGATAGAAGAGATTATATAAATTTTAAAACCACCATAAACTGTATGTAATAAATACAAGGAGATTTAGAATATATTTTGTCCATTGGGAAATGGTTGGAATGCTATTTCTTTTTAAAGGGAAGAAACAAGAAAAGGGGGGTTCTTAAAGATTATGGTTGCAGAGACAAAAATTTAGTAGGATAAGAAGATGATGGTAAGAAATCCACCAGTAAGCAGAGCTGAAAGACAAATAGAAAAGACAGCTAAAAGATCAATTTACAAGGTTCTATATTCAAGTAATAGGAATACCAGAAAAAGTAAAGAGAGAATATTTAAAAAGTTATGGGAGACAATAGAACAAAATTTCCCAGAGGTAAAGGACAACATTATTTTTTTAATTTAATGGTCTCACCAACTTACAAGCAGGATAAACCAAAAATATCCTGGATGCTTCATTTTGCAGTGTCTCTGCTCCTAAGATTTAAGGAAAATTCTAAATGCTTCCGGGACAGGGAGTACAGGATGGTGGTATTGGGGGATATATGTCAGCTTGTAACAGAATTAGAGGCATACTAAATAGACCACCAGACTCCTGATTAGCAATCTTAGAAGTCAGAATATAGTGAAATAAAGGCTTCAAGTTCTGAGAGAAAGTGATTTGAAACTAGAATTTTATACTTTCCCTAAGAGTCAAGTATGAGGTCAAAATACAGTTTTCAGACAAGTGAGGACCAGATAGTTTACCTCTTTAGGAACTCTTCCATGGAAATAACTTGAGATGGCATCCAACAAAACAAAAGTGTAACAGCAAATTAAAAATAAAAAAAATTTACCAATTTAGAACAAGGGATCAATGAACTTCAGGAATAATGAAGCCAGCAATTGACAGAATAACAGAAAGTAGCAAAATTTTAGGATAAAGTGTGGATGAAATATGTTTCTTCTCTAAGAAAAAATAAAGGCAATCAAAAACTCTCAGAAAAATAGAAATATGGTCAATATGTCATGCTTCAAACATAGAAGAAAATATCATGGAATTTTGAGCAAGTAGAGGGATATAAGGAAGAGAAAGGCTTTGATACTAGAAATATTCTCCCTTAAGTGAAAGTTGAGTATTCCAGGAATTGAACTTTGCATGTATAGAAGAGGATATGTAATCATGACACTTGGCTTGGTTCTATTGTGATCAATAATCATGTGGCCATATAACATTAGCATTACTTATTGGTTTTCAGTTATACTATAAAATATAAATGTCCTTAAATTTGACTGTATACGGGTAAAAATAGAATGACCAAAGTTCTCTTAATTTCTTAAATTGGTGGGTCAAAAGATACTGCAAACTTGATGAAACAAGAAATGCTACTAAAAATCACAGAAGTCATCAGTTGAATAGTACTACTTTTTTTTAAAAGATTTTATTTATTTATTTGACAGAGAGAGACACAGTAAGAGAGGGAACACAAGCAGGGGCAGAGGGAGAGGGAGAAGCAGGCTTCCTGCCAAGCAGGAAGCCCGACGTGGGGCTCAATCCCAGGACCCTGGGATCATGACGTGAGCTGAAGGCAGACACTTAACAACTGAGCCACCCAGGCACTCTGGAATACTACTTCTCAAATTGTGGTTGCTGAATCAGCCATGTCAGCCTCTTTTGGGATCTTGTGAGATATTTTAACAATCTGACCAGGTGATTCTCTCTTTCTTTAAAAGATTATTTATTTATTTATTTGAGAGAGAGAGAGAGAGAGAGACAGAACAAGTCAGGAGAAAAGAGAGACATAGGGGGCTCGACCCCAGGACACTGGGATCATGACCTGAGCCAAAGACAGTTGTTTAACTAACCCCTGACCAGGTGATTCTAATGCAGCTGATGTTTGAGAACCACTGCAGGAGAGGAGTTAAGACTAATGATTTGCCTGTCAAAATTAGGAAGGCAGAGGAGAGAAAAATTCTTGTCCATTGTGTCAGGTATTCAGTAAGAGAATGTCTAAATCTGATTAATCATCAAAATAAACACATGTGGATGTGGATAATAGTGGTTGCCCCTGGAGAGCAGGATTCAGTATAGGGAGGTATGTGGCAGGGGATCATTATTTCTTTTAAACATGTGATTCTTTGATTGAAATTAAAACAAAAGAAAAATATTTTTCTTAGATTGGAAAGATTGTCCCGGAGTCTGGGAAATATTCTGGGAGAGTGATCCTTGCTTTTTCTCCTTTTCCTGATTGGGGGGGCAGGGGGTAGCTAATTTAATGACCATCCACCATGTGTCTTCCAGATGTTGACTCAGTTTGAGGGGGAGAAAGATTCTGA